TTTGAGGAAACTTCTTGGATGGAGCAAGCTCATATGAAGCAAAGCTCTTAGCAGTAGGTGTGCTGGCTCAGAGGAGAAAGGGGGTTATTACAGCATTCTTTTTCCTTAAGATTCCAAAGACCTTCCAGCCCTATTTTACAGTCTTACAGAAGGGACCGCAGAAGCCAGAGAAGGCATGGCCGGCTTGGTTCACAGAGTCCTTGAAGGGAGTTGTCAGGAGATAACTGAAGGGGACAATGTCACTCACCGCCCACGCCATGGGGGAGCCAAATGGGAGAACCGGAGGTGGGAAAGCTCTTGGGTTGTTGGAGAGGCACCGGCCCCTTCCATGGGGAAGGGCTAGAGAGAGGCCAGCATCCAGGAATCCAGGGTCCCAAGTACCAGGAGGAGCCTCAAAACCACCCACATCCCTAGCCTCAGGAACCTCTGGCATCCCTAAACAGCAATTCTTTCCATGGCTTCTGTGAAAGGAGAGCGTCTCGCCAGTCTCAGCTACCACCTGAAAAAGCCACATTGCTGGACTGCTTGGCCTGTTGGAAAAGCCCTCCCCTTCTAGTAACACCCTCACTGGTGCCCACTGGGCCCTCAGCTCCCAGCCTAGTGCTCCCTGGGCCCATGATGGCCCTGCAGTGCTTACGAGGCAGCGACCATGTCCTCCGTGGCCTGCCTTCCTCTGGACCAGCACTCTTGCCTGTCAACACTTTCTCATCTGACAAGCTCCACTTCCCCTCGCTGTCTCCCAAATGGCCAGGAGCCAGGAGACGGTGTCCCAGGCCTGCCTCTGTCTCACACCAGGTATGTGGCCTTGGACACGTCTCACGATGTTTGCCCATCTGGAAGATAAGGAGGCTGAATTCAATAGGCTCAGAGGTATCAGGGGACCACAGAGCACTGAGCCCGATGTTCCTAAAGTCAGCGATTCCAACATTCTATCATAACAAAAGTAAAACCAGACCTTTAGCATTTCTTATGGATTCAGTTTTAAGTGCTGTGTTAAGCTCATTTAATTCACCCCCAACAACCCCATGAGATAAGTACTATTATTATTGCCATTTACAAACAAGAAAAGGGAGGCACAGAGAGGTTGAGTACCTTGCCCTAGGCTATACAGCTAGTAAAAGGGAACTGGGATTTGAACCCAGGCAGTCAGGCTCAGAACCCACAGCAGGACACTGTCTCTGATCTCCTTCTCCCTGCTCTCACATACCGGGTTGACACCATGTGCTCCCGCAGGTCCAGCATTCTGTGATTCTGTGAGAACTTCCCAGGCAGTTCTCAGAGCCTGCTGGGTTCTAACTGATAAACTGCAGCCCTGACCTTCTGAGACTGGGCTCTGAGGAGGCTGCAGCAATTTAGAAGAGCTCTCCAGGTTTCTAGAAGAAAACCTACCAGTTGGCCCTTTCCCTGTGCTGTCCACTGCCCCAACACGAGAAAAGACACTGCTTCTCCCCTCTGGGGGGTGTCAGTGACCCAGCCAAGGAACCCCAGCTGGCAGGGAAGCTGAGGTCAAGGTCAGGTGGGGGAGATCAGACTGGATGACTTTGGAAGGTCCCCCAGGCCTGAGATCCTTGACTGTGCTAGAGGCAGTGGGGTGCAAAATGGCTCACCGGACTTTCCCCTCCTGGGGCAGCTCATGGGGGGGGTCCTCACACACCAGCCGGGACTCCCCATCCAGAAGGTAGGTGTAGACAGTCTCCTAGGACAGAAGGCACTCATGAGACCCTATATAGAGCCCTCCCAGCCGCCCTGTCCCAGCCCAGACATGGATCTGGGTGACAAGGTCACAGACCCTCTAGGAGTGGGATCAAGCATCTGTTTGTTTTTACTCCCCAGGTGATTCTAACATGTAGCCATGGTGGAAAAAGTCCCTTATGAACTTACACCTCGCCCTCTCCTCTTGGAGGGGGTTCTCTGGGCAGGCAGTGACCCGTGACCCTGCAGGCTTTCCTTGTCTATCACCCCAAATCCAAAGTGCTGGGGAAAGAGTCTGAAGGACTGAAGGTGCAGACAAATCTCACCCACCACTCACCTCAGTTTGCTGGGACTCTAGCCTCAGCAAACAACTGACTGGTCTACGCAGGGCTAAATGCCAAGAGGGGCTCAGAACACCCTGGAAGAGTCCCTCCTACCTCAGAGACACAAGTAATTCTACAAGAAACCACACACTGTGACTCAAGCCAGAAGGACTTCCCGGAGGAAGTGACCTTACATCTGTAACTACAGTAAAAATGAAACACATTCTGGGAGTCGGTGAGGCACAAAGAGTGGCTTCTGGGCCAAGTAGCAGGCAGGCAGTGTAAAGAGCACAGAGCATTTATGGAACTGACAGGGGAGGCAGGGGACACAGGAGGTTGTCTTAGGGTCAGCAGGGCCTATAAACATTTGGAGGAGACTGCTGTGAGCCCTGAGAGAGAGGAGCAGGTGCGCATTTTGGAGTGATCACTCCCCAGAGTAAGATCAAAGCTCTCTTCGAAGCTTGTCAAGTCTTCAGCTTGTCAGTCTGCCTTCCCCAAGGGCCCAGAGCCATTTTGGCCTCGGTTGCAGGCCAGGTCTTGGCAGAAGTGGTTGCCCTCACGGCAACCCCACTGCCCCACGGGTGAAAAATCGACATCCCCTCCAAACAGGACTGGTCACCCCGAGGGATCCGTAACCAGCTCATTCAGCCCAGCCTCACTGAGCGCCCCACCGTGCACACTCTGGGTGCGGAGGGAGGGAGACCCAGAGGCCGGTGCTGTCCAGAAGACCCTGAGGGGTACCCACGCACCCAGGTAAGTATCCCGAGGGGCGCTGTTTTCTTGGTGCGGGGCAGGCAGGTCTCTCCTCTCTGCTGCGCTACCAGGGAGGGCTTCTGGAGGAGATGACACTGGAGCCAGGCACTGAAGGCCCACCCGTAGTAAGTGTGCCAGTAAGTGTGGAATCCCTCTCAGCTGAAGTAGCGGCCCTTCTGCCACTGTGGGTGTCCACAGTCCTGCCAGCCACTCTTGTTTTTTTTGCTGCCCCCGCCCTCCCAGCCCCAGTTCCAGTCCTGCTTCCAGAGAACCTGAGCCAGTTCATTGGTGGTATGGGCTGGGGATGATAGGGCCTGAGAAGAGTGACAGGGGCAAGTCACAGGCCAGAACTGGAGGCCCCTTGTCCTCCAGGGTAAGGGTCTAGGCTGGGAGTTTAGGGATGGAGAAATCAGTGGGAGGGAGGCCTCTCCTCATCTATATCCAGCCTCCTTCTTGTCCTCCAATCCTTGCAGCAGCCAGGGAGGGGCCTGAGGGATTTGGCCCAAAGAGGTTAAGAGACCACCCGGCACACAGGGTCACACAGTGAGTCTTCCCCGGGCAGAGAGAGAGGTGGGTACACAAGGGGTGGGGAGCCTGGGAGGACAGATCCTCATCACTTCCGGATGTCCCTCTATCTCCCACCCCCTCACTCTCAGCCCTCTGGGTTAAAATTAGCTGAGTTTATTGGAGAGAAGGAGGGAACCATTTCAGACACATCAGCACCATCTGCATTCGGGGCTGCCTGCCACAATGGGTGCTGATGAGGGAGCCAGGTGCCAGAGGCTCTCCTCACCAAGGAGGAGTATGGAGACCCCTCCCCCAGCGCCCCACCCCTCCCTGGGGGCTGAGCAGACACCTCCATCTCCCTCCCTCCTCTGAGGACTGAGTAGACCGCCCATCTGTCCTTCCCCCCACCCCCACTCCACTCCC